ATGTGGAAGTACATAATAATAATAATGCTTTTAACGATTCTGCAATGGAATGCCAGAAGTCTTATAGCAAATGGTCCAGAATTTAAAAAGTTTATAGATCTTTTAAATAAGAAACCAAACATAATTTGTGTACAAGAAACATGGTTAAAACCTAAATTAAATTTTGTTCTGCAAGGATATAATATTGTAAGAAAGGATAGAAAGACAGGTAATGGAGGTGGGGTGGCCACTTTTATAACAAATGAATTAGAATACAGAGTCATTAATGAGATTGAAGAACATGAAGTGGTGGTTATAGATGTATATGCAGAGAAACAAAATATCAGAATAATAAATTATTATAATCCTTGTCGTAGATTAAGTAAAGATTTAGAAAAGGTTATTGGGTTAGGAAATCATAAAATAATTTGGTGTGGAGATTTTAATGCACATAGCACTTTATGGGGAAGCAGTAATGATGATCATAATGGGGATGTTGTAGAAGAAATAATAGACCGTAATGGGTTAGTATGTTTAAATGATGGTAGAAACACAAGAATAGATTTGGTACGTGGTATTGGGTCAGCTATAGATTTAACATTGGTTTCTGAAGATATAGCAAGTAAATGTGTATGGGATGTTTGGGAAGATAATAATATGGGTAGTGATCACTATATCATTTTATGTAAGGTTGGGCTGAGTGTAATGGAACATAATGTGATTTTAGCTCCAAGATGGAGATTTAATAAAGCAAACTGGGAAGCATATACATATTTAAGTGAGGTAGAACTAACAGCAGAAGTAAATATGATGGAAGACATAGATGAATGTAATGGGAAAATATGTAAAGTATTGTATGATGTAACTAATAATATTATAGGAAAAAAGGGACAATGTAAAAAGAGGAAAGCAGTTCCTTGGTGGACAGAACAATGTAGCAATGCGGTACATAATAGGAATAAAGCATTCAGAAAAATCAAAAAGACTAATTTATTTGAAGATTTTATTAAATATAAGAAAGCGCAAGCTGAAGTAAGAAGAATAGTCCGAGCAGCTAAAAAGAAGTACTGGAGAGATTGGTGTAATTCAATAGGAGAAGATATTGACATAAGTGAAGTATGGGGATCAATTAGGAAAATGGGAGGAATTTATAGAAATCAAACTCTTCCAGTTTTAAAAACTGATGAAGGAAGAATAGCTGTGTCAGATAATGAAAAAGCTGAAATGCTGGGTAAAGTATTTGTTAAAGTCCATAGTGATGATAATGTTTCAGAGGATATTAAAAAGTGTAGAATCCAGAACAAGAATCAGCACCCAGATGTGATGATGAAAAGAAGTTCTTCTGGAGACACTTTAGATGCAGAATTTACTATGTATGAATTAAAGATGGCTCTAGGGGGAGTTAAACATACATCTCCTGGAAGAGATGATATATGTTATGTAATGATTCAACATTTATCAGATAGATCCTTAAAAATTATTTTAAATCTTTTTAACAAGGTATGGAATGCAGGAAAGATTCCTTCTTCGTGGAAACATGGAATAATAGTACCAGTAGGCAAACCTGGAAAGGACAAATCCAATCCAATTAATTATAGGCCAATTGCATTAACTTCTAATTTATGTAAACTGATGGAAAAAATGATCATACATAGACTAAATTATATATTGGAAATAAAAGGTCTTATATCGCCATATCAGAGTGGATTTAGGGCTGGTCGGAATACAATGGATGCTGTTTTAAGCCTAGAAGCCGATATCAGTAAATATGTATTTATTAGTGCTCCACACTCCAGTCCAGTTGGTGGCGGTAAATGCACCAGAAGTTGGTTTGCCATCCGCCATAAAACGTTATTAGAAGAAGAAGAAGAAGAAGAAGAAGAAGAAGAAGAAGAAGAAGAAGAAGAAGAAGAAGAAGAAGAAGAAGAAGAAGAAGAAGAAGAAGAAGAAGAAGAAGAAGAAGAAGAAGAAGAAGAAGAAGAAGACATTACAACTGCGACATCTTGGGAAAACATTCTTTAACAGGTCGGACAGCTGTGTATTTTTTTTCAGGAAAAACTAGTTTTTGTGAACGTTCTGTTTATTTGAGTGTTTTTTTTTATGGTTTTGGTTAAACTGAATGGCGTGTTAAGAGCTTTTTCGTTACATTGTTATTGATATCTATCTCTGAAACGCAATGGTGTGTGTTTAAGTTGTGTTGTAACTGCACCGTCATTATGATGCAGAAGATCTTACTGTAAATGGTCATTTGTAATGTTTAGTGTAGCTAAGGCTCAAAACACGTATTTGAGCCTTTAATATTAATATACACGTATATTAGTAGGTGATGGCAGACCTTGGACTGAAGGAGTGGGACAGAGTGCTGCTGATATGGACTCAGCCATCATCTCCCACTGCACTGAAGGAGTTTGCTGAAAGCATTGGCGCTGCTGTTGGTAACCAGAGTCTGGTATCTTTGGAGAACATGGAGAGACTACAACTTTGTAAGTACGAAGGCATATGCGACACTTTCAAGTCTTTCAAGTCTCAATCTAAGTGAAAGAATTTAAGGAATGAATCATTCACCCACAAAATCTAGCTTCTCACGCTTCTCACGCAGCTTCAAGTTATGACTGGGTTCTCTCAGGCCTGCTGACCGACAGCTCGCCAATCCACAGTTCAGAAATGTTGGCTGAGATGGCCAGAGTAATGAAACCTGGTGGCAAACTTGTGCTAGAAGAGCCGGTAACAGGTATCTTACTCAGAACGGCACTGTCTGTACAACATTCTCAAGTGAAATGAATCAGAGCTAATAGTTCACCTCATAACGTTTTTCTTAGGTTCTGGGGACAATGGTGTGAGAACCGCTGGGAAACTGATGTCAGTTCTTAAACTGTCTGGATTAGTATCTGTCACTGAGATCAGTATTCAGTGTTGTTTTTTTTAAGTTGATTCAGTGTAGGACTGGGTGGTATAGATTAAAAATATATACTGATTTTTTTAGCCTTTTAAAATTATTATTATTATTGTTTATTTATTATTGTAATACCAGTTAATAATACTGATAATTGTAATCCTTTTTTAAAAAGTCATTATTATTCCACATTATTATTAATATAGTATTTATAAAAATAAAATAGAATAATTATAGTTAATACGTTTCTTTCAATAAAAATATACTAATAGTAACTAATAATGATAATAATAATTTCACATTGATGCAAACAAACTGTTTGATCAAACTGTGAAAATTATATGTATCATTAAATTCATCATTATTTTATTATTAATAATAAT